TCACACCCGTCATACAAGCACTTTACTCCAAGCTTAACACTCGCACTCCAATGGCTGCATCAGAGAAACCCGGGGTTATGTTTGGCATGAAATCAAACCACCAACCTTCCGATAAGTAGATGGCCTGCTCCACCTCCTGAGCTACAGCCACCCCCACCTCACTGGATATATTGCTGTGTCACTACTGCTGCACTATAACGCTTTGTGGTGATAGATTCCACGTTAAGTGGGGGGTGTGTCATGGATGACAGCAGCTCGTTGGAAAAGAAGGATAGAAAGCATCCTTCATATTGTTTGCACTAATAAGTGCTGCTCCTGCCTGAAAGCTGCACTCAGCGATAAAATGTTGCTCAGCATTTTTTCCTTTTACTGTCATAAATATGATTATTGTACATTTCCTTGAAATGAAGCTACTTTCAGCTGCTCCCTGGTCACTGCAGCAGGTCACTCTGCATCTTTCTGATGCAACCTACAAGTGATTTGTGTCTCAAGCTGGAATTTTAAAGCTATATTGCCCATAATACTCAGATCTCATGGTACGCTAAGGAAATCCTCACCCTGGTCTCCCACTGCTGCTCCTTCTCCTTCCTCTCTCTGGCTTCAGCTCTCTGTTTCTCCTCCAACCGGTGCTTGGCTTCTGTCGCTGCATCGATGTCTTTTATCTTCAGGTTCAGAGTCACATCCTTCCACAGTCTACGGGGAGTAAAAGTTTGAAAGTCAAACATTTAGAGTTAAAGGACCCGTGAGACGGCTGAGGTCCGACACCGATCCTCTCCTCACCTTCGAGACTCGTACTCGAGCTGGTCTTCCGGCTTCCTCACTCTCTTCTTAACGATGCCCATCTTCTTAGTGTCTATGAACACCGTGTTCTCCTAGAAACGTATGAAAACACGTTCACGCATGTATTCATTCATTTAAGGTGGTAATTTCCTACATTTTGTGATGTAAATAAAACAAAGGACTCACTCCAGTCGCCCATTTAGCATACATGACTCCGTTCCACTCTCCCTCAATGGAGCAGAAAGACTTCTTGTCGTTTGGTGAACTGCAGGGACAAAACACCCAGATGTCATCTCGTGTATTAGAGAGCGGACTCTCAGTAATCCTTAAATAATGTGACATAACCACATGGCTCTTACAAAATCTCTGCAGTGATTCTGTGCTTCTTTCCACCGTAGAAGGGTTTGGTGTGGAACACGATGTTCGCGCTGTAGCCCGACTTGGAGCAGGAGATGTTGCACTCTCCGCCAAGCTCCACCCACGGCACAGTGAGGATCGACCTGCACAGACAGGCGTAGGTCAGCGACACAAAGTAACGACCGACTAAGCGATGACGCAGGCGAGCGCAGGGATGCATTAACGGCACCTACCTGCCATATCCGTTAGGAAAGGTGAGAATGTAATGCTCATCGTGCTCCAAACATGACACGCAGCCTGGAGAGAGGTCAGAGGTCACTTAACACAAAGATTCACTGAATCACACTTAGAGAATATAAAGCAGAGCTTAGTGTACCTTGGCCGATGTTGTGGACACCTATGGACATGCCCAGAAACTTAGATTTAGTCCAGATGTGAGCATTGAACTGGATCTTCCTACTTAAGCACTCGGCGTAGAACGCAGAAACTACAGGCGAGAAATGCAGGAAATAATGAGGAGAAACCAGCAACACATCAGCGACTGTGCAGAAAATAAAACCAAAACATTTTTGCACAAATAAGACTGATTATGACATCCATACCTAACATGTCATCTGGTTAACGTTTTTAACATCAAATAAAAAAACAGAATTTTACAGTTAGGGCTGCTCAATTAATCGAATTTTAATCTCGATTACGATCTGGGCTTTCAACGATCATTAAAAATGACTGAGCCGATTATTAGCCCCTCCCTCGTGCTTCACTCTCGCGCTGCTCCGTGTGGCAAATCGAGCGCACCTCTCTGCATTTCGATCACCCGTCACAACAATTAAGAGCAGCGGTCTCCAACCTTTTTTGCGCCACGGACCGGTTTATGCCCGACAATATTTTCACGGACCGGCCTTTAAGGTGTCGCGGATAAATACAACAAAATAAAACTAGTACCGGTACCGAAAAAAAGAAGATTTATTCATAACACACGTGAAAAGACCCAGGAAAACCGAGTCAACGATAAAAACGATAACAAAATGACGCTGAAAACTGATAAAAACCCTGAAAACTATACATTTCACACCTGAGCCTCAACTCTCGCGGCCCGGTACCAAACGACTCACGGACCGGTACCGGTCCGAGGCCCGGGGGTTGAGGACCGCTGATTAAGAGGACCCGAGGGAAGCTTGGAAAGCTAAGCAGAAGTTAGTTGGAGAGGAGAGTGACTGCTGTTGGTTGAAAAGAGGTAAAAAAAACTTGAGTGGTGTGGAAACATTATGGGTTCAGTCAGACGTGGATCAAGTCGACACAGTGTGTAAACTTTGCTACAGTGTCGTAGCTGCACCACAGAGCAACACTGCAAAGTTCACTAAACATAGATGTTTACATTTTTCATTTATTTCTTATATTGCAAACATTTGCACTGTTATCAGTATTTGCACTCTATTTTATATTATTTTTTAAAGTCATTATTCAATACATTGTTATTGTTAAATAAATATCGTCAAATAATCGAGATCTCAGTGAAAATAATCGTGACGATCATTTTTGCCATAATCGAGCAGCCCTGTTTACAGTGGTTACTTTTCTAAAACCTCCGCCACACCCTCTGGATCTACATGTAATGAGCAATTCTGCGTTTACACTCAAAAGAAGGTTCGACACTTACTGGGCGGGTGGTGAGAGACCTGCTCTGCCACAAAAGACACGCTGTTGGATGAAGCCCAGGGAACCGGGCCTTCTGCTACCGTCTCCTGAAACAGGATTGTGATTCTTGGTTAGAACTGCAGATCAATGATTCAGGAACTTGTAAAAGTAATAATTGAAATTATTACTGGACCGCAGCGACAAACGGTCTCACCGTAGGTGGCGAAGGCTCCTCTGTCTCGCTGGGAAGATCCCAGTGGCAGTAGAAGACTTCTCCTAGGATTGGGTTGTACGGTTTCTTGGCCACTGAGCCTTTCCTTCCGGCATGGAAAGCCGACAGGTACCACCTCACCACCTGCACCATCCGCTCCCTGGCCTCTGGCTGCTCAGCGATACTAGCAAGTAAAAGAAGCAAGTACTGAATGACGGCCGACCCTCACGCCAGAGCGTGCATGCTGATAAACAGCTGAAATGGTACGTACCTTACAAATAAGTCGGGGTGTGCAAAGAAATCTGCATACATTTCTAACAAAGACCTTCTTTCTAGGATGAAGGTCGGCAGGACCACCTGGGAAATACAGAGAAGTGTTGTTAAAAAAGAAAACCTTACGCCGACGGCGCTGGAGAGCGAAACGCCGCGACCAAACAATTAGGGCGGCTAAGACGCTACAAGGTCCTGACCTTTGTGAGGTCCATGCCCAGTCGAACTTGAGACAGCAAATGCATGATGACGCTCTTGTGCTCTTCCACAGACTCCCCTTCGCCGTCATCGTCGCGGTCATCATGACAGTCAAACTGGTCTGAGGACAAGCAGAGCAAAAGTTTCACCATCATGTAGTAAAATATGATTTAAATAACGCCTCACGCTTAGTGAGGGACAATCAGCTGCGATGTGATCACGTGTCTCGCGAGCATTTCCCTTTTTACCCGTGTCTGTGGTGCCGTTGGACATCGAAGAGTTGAGGGACTCTGTAGTGTTGGGTCGTTTCAGAGCCGTTTCTTCATTAGTGGGCGAGGCAGCTGGAGGCCCTGAGGGACTGGGTGCAGGAGGCGGAGCAAGGAAGCAGGAAGAATAGAGATAAAGGGGATAAAGAAGAAATATAAAACAAGAGGCAAACTTCTCAGATTGCAAACGATCACGCTGTTGGATTTTTATTCGATCCAAGCAGAATTTTTCTCGCTATAAACGAGGCGGGTGCTGCTGTACTCACTCTATGCAGTGTTTGGGGGAAGTGTTGCTCTGGTAAAACTCATCAGCGTCATAGAATTCGTCCTCACTGGAGGAGTAGGAGAAGTCTGGCACCGAGTGTGAGGGGAGGGGGATGTGAGCCGGGGAGGCGACGCCGCTGCTGGGGCCTGACGGGCCACTCCCTAAAAAACACACATAAA